CAATTGATTTATATAAACTCAAATCTAATTTGTTTTTGTTTATTTAGGTCTATATGAATAACCATTAAAATGTCGGGTAAATCAGCTGATTTATATCAACTTTATAAATCTAGTTTTTTGTTTATTTAGGTGTATGTGAATGTCCATTGATAATTTGGGTAAGTCAACTGATTTCAATAAAAGTAAATCTGATTGTTTTTTCTTCATTTAGGTCTATATGCATGTCCATGAAGAATTCTGGTACGTCAACTGATTTATATAAACTTAAAGCTGATTCTTTTTTGTTTATTTAGGTGTATATGAATATCGATTACAATTTCTGGGAAGTCAGCTGATTAATATAAACTTAAATCTAATTTGTTTTTGTTTATTTAGGTCTATATGAATATCGATTACAATTTCTGGTAAGACAATTGATTTCAATAAAATTCAATCTGATCCTTTTTTCTTTATTTAGGTCTGTAATGAAATTGCATTAATATTCATGCGTGGGCTGAGAGTGTGAGGGCTTTTGTGGCTCATGTAAGGGTTATTTTAATTGACCGAAGTAAAGTATCTACTTGTTCTGGAACCTGCTCGGGAACAGTTAATGCGTTTCCGATGGTTGGTGTGTTCTGGTAGTAAAATATGCTAATGTAGGGTTTCCGAGTGCTCGGAAACCTTTTCTCGGAAACCCTTAAAAGGTTTCCGATAGTAACAAGTTCGGAAACCCATTAAGGGTTTCCTACACGACGGATTTTTCTTAGAGTGTATCAGAATCAATTGCTAAACGATTTGAAGATATTCCAGAAATTTTTGTATTAATGAAAAACTGTTTAGATGTTGCATTTTTATATCAGCAAGTAGTATTGGATAAGACACAAACAATTGTTGATTATGGCAAAAATTAATTGCAAAAATTGATTGATTTGACTGTATCAAATTCAAAGAAACTGATAAATGCGCCTGTTATTCAACATCAATATTTAGAGTGGAAACAACGTTGTTTAAAAGAAATACAAGGTAAAGATATGTTTAGTGTTTGGACGACTAACGGGAAAATATTGACATCCAAAGTGATGAAAACATTTTACACTAATACAGATTTATCGGAAGGGATAAATGATTTTATTCATTTTTATTCATTAATGATATTAAAAATTAGAAGTGAAGCTATTTGTGAATCAGCAGCATCGATATTAAAAGGCCATATTCACAAAAACCGTTCGTTACAACACAAATCTTTGGATGATGAAATATTTCTTCATTGGAATGCCCCACCGTTACATTTAGCTGATAAATTTATTGAACAATCAATAGACGATTATTTTATAAACAAAAAGGACAAAACTTGGTTATTTTATATGAAAAATGAACAATATCAACCATGGAGATTATTATCTCCTGGTTCACTCGTGTTGAATCGTTTCCAAAGTGAACAAGTACCAAAACTACCAGAATTAATTGACGATTGATAAAAAACATTTTTTTTTAATAACCTTCTTTCTAGTTGGTGCTAGCATTATTTCTGTTTTATTGTTTTCTTACATATTTAGTTAAAGATTTGCTTGGGAAAAGATAATTCCTTCTATTTTCATAGTGGGGAAATTTTTGGACAGTTATTATGCGTGCGCGGAAAATTTTTAATTTTACGGCACATTCTGCACCGATCACACCCACACCCACACCCACACCCACATCAACACCCACACCCCGCCACAACAATACCCACACCCACACCTACACCCACACCCACACCTACACCCACACCCACACCCCGCCACACCAATACCCACACCCACGCCCACACCCACATCCACACCCCACACTCACACCCACACCAACACACACATCCCGCCACACCAATACCCACACCCACACCCAC